GCCCGCTGAAGTCGTCAACCTCAAGGCCTCAACAGTTTGGTCATGCATAACTGAATTTATAGCGTTCTGACATTTCAAAGATGAGGATTGTCAGGGATAATCCAAATTTCTGCCGTAGAAGTGTCGCTAGGACTTGCTTGATTGCTGTCACTTGGCGTCTTCGGCACCAAGGGATTGGATGAAATAAACGAGATCGACGTCGAGGACTTAATACAAACCAGAGTCCAACTAAAAAAACGCGAGTCTACTCAAATTATTAAGGTCGTCGTCGGATGTACTATCTCTCGGAGTGTAGCTCGAAGCAAAGATGTCCAGATCTTCGTTGTCTGTCAAGCTACCCCGCGGTGCAGTGTTGGACATCTGATTCGCTTGTTCGAAAGCACAAGATCTCTTCATTGATCGAGTAGTTTCTGGCATGTGTGAACTGTTTCGATGTTGAGCAATACGCTGCAATAATCCTCCGAAGCCAACAATCAATGACCTGCGAGTATATCACAATTTATCACTCCACACGCAATACCAGCACACATCCACTATGCCAACGTGCCCTCTGACGAGCCACTCGGCAGTAATGCAGCTCGTCAATTCGTTCGCAGATCATCCGAGACCCGCAAGCTCCTGAGCTCAACCGAGCGCCGGTCAGTGTACGAGACGCTATTGCGTGTAGCTGTGCGTGATGTGCTGCCACGTTAAGCCATGATGAAGTTTGCTGCCAAGCTTCGTTGCCTTCCTCACGCTGTCACTCGACTTCGGACTCGCATTCAACTCTCGCTTCGTGTTGGTCAACTTTCTGCCGATGTCACCACCACATCCAGGGGTAATTCTGTAACATCTGATAAATATATTCATTTTTCAATGTATAGAAATAGAATTTTAACTTGGCCTGGCCGTGAAACACCACCACACCAAGCAAGTCTGGGATAGCATATTGTTCATGTCGCCCCTGCACTCCGTATAAGCAAGAACCGCCCCAAAGGCGCACTGGTGACGACACCACAAACTGAGGATGCACCACTTTATATGGATAAAGTTTTAAGTACGGTTGTCCTTGCCATCCAGTCAAATTTACTCGGAGGCAGCCGTCGGGGTGGTGCTGATTCAAAACGATAACGCAAGCCACCAAATATGTGTTTCGACTGAAATGCATTGTTCAACGGGAGTGCGTGGAATCTAAGTGGCAAACCAACTTCCAAGCCACCCTGATTTTACATCATGGCCACATGCTAGACAAATGAAGCATTCCAGCTATTCCAGTTAAAGTGTTAGATTTGGAACACTTTAATTCTATTGAAACCCCGCAGGACCAAAAGCCCACTGGGGCTATCGAGGAGCTTATTGATACGGTAGAAAACGCATTTAATGAGTTACTGGCACGCTTGCAATGTCTTTGTACCTCTTCAAAACGTGGTGTTTTCTTTTGAATACATGGAAGCAATGAAATCAAGCTTCCACACATGAAAACGAATACTCTCATTGCTGACTCTGCATCCTATCATGTCGTGTTTTTGACGCCTCGTCCTACGAGAGCGTTTTTGCAATTTCGCATGGGCGAGGAAGGTCAGTTCGATTCCTCTGTTCACTGGAATGTGAACAATTCGACTTTATTAAGTTTTGGAGTTGAAATTAAATATTGAATTGTGTGCTTCACCAAGTTCACTTGAATCAAGGGAAAAAGTAGAATTCTTGTAACAACGGAGTACTAGAGAAGGATTCTAATTATTGAAAATATATTCTATATATTTTTCTATATATATATAAATGCGCCCGATTTTGCATTGCAATTGTGGATTTTTCTACTTCATTTTTGTATGGTGGAAACCAATTTGAGCGGTTCCATCCCAACTTGGACACGATGGGCGATGTTCGCGTCGTTTGTCGCGTGCGCCCCCCCAACGCCATGGAGCTTGCGCGTGGCGCCGCGGGTGTGCGATGCGTAAAGACGCAGTCACCTGGCCTCGTGCAGGTGTACTCGGACGGTATTGAAAGCGGGAGTGCGCCGCAAGCATTCACGTTCGACAGTGTGTTTGGCGAAGAGTCCACACAACAGCAAGTGTTTGACGAGGTTGCACGACCCGTCGTGGCAGACATCATGGAGGGGTACAACGCTACGATATTCGCGTATGGACAGACGAGCAGTGGGAAGACGTTCACGATGGAAGGGGCAAGCATCGACGACGAAGCTTTGCGCGGCATCATTCCCCGCACGGCGACGGAACTCTTCGCCCGCCTTATGGAGGCCGACGAGAACATGGAGTTTGTTGTGAAAGTGAGCTACATCGAGATTTACATGGAGCGCATACGGGATTTGCTTGATCCGTACAAGACTAAGATCAATCTCCAAGTTCGCGAGGACAACGACAAGGGCATTTACGTCGACGGCGTCACCGAGTTGTGCGTGACGAGCGACGACGAACTGCTGTCCACCATGCGAAGCGGAGCCGCAAACCGCGCGGTCGCCGCGACCGGTATGAACGAAGGCAGTTCGCGCTCCCACAGCGTCTTCATGGTAACGTTGTACCAGCGCAACCTAGAAACAAACTCCACCAAAGTCGGTACGTCACTTCAAACGCAAGCCACGGCTGCCCTCGATGAATGCCCTGAACGAAAACGTCCCTTGCTTCTCGCCTTGCTCACCCAACCTTGTTTTCCATGGCAGGCAAGCTTTACCTCGTCGATTTGGCCGGCAGTGAAATGGTTCGCAAGACGGGGGCGTCGGGGAAGCAGCTCGAAGAAGCCAAAACGATCAACAAGTCACTCAGCGCGTTGGGAATGGTGATTAATGCCCTCACGACGGCCAACGTGACATTCGTCCCATACCGCGACAGCAAGCTGACGCGTGTGCTGCAAGAAGCGCTGGGCGGGAACTCGCGCACGTCGCTCATCATAAACGTGTCCCCGAGCATCTTCAACGCTCCCGAGACCATATCCACGCTCCGATTTGGCAATCGCGCCAAGGCCATCAAGAACAAGGCCGTTGTGAACGCCGAGAAGAGCGCCGAAGAGTACAAGCAACTGCTTGCCAAGGCGGAGAAAGTGATCAGCATGCAGCAAAACTACATTCTCGTGCTTGAGACGCGGCTCAAGCAGCAACCACCGTCTGTCCCACAGCCACCTCCCGCGGCTCCAGTCCTTGCCGCCCCGGTGGAACCTGCCGTCACCCCGGAGATTGCTGTTCCAGCGAGTCAGTCGGCTGAGCAAGAAGCCGCCGCCTTGGTAGCTCTCCAAGCGCTGCAGGAACGAATCGTGCGCCTGGAAGAGCAACTCGCGGAGGAGCAGAACGAATCGGCGCGCCGCGGCGACGAAATCCGATCGCTCACGGCTGTCCTGAACGACAAGCAAGCTGTGGCGGACAACCTGACCCTCCAGCAGCACACGTGGGAACGCCAGAGGATGGACGACCAGACATCTCGTTTGCTGCAAGAGGAACTAGCCAACATGAAGCTCGAAATGGACAAAGTCGTGTTTGAGAACCAAGAGATTAAGCTGCATGTGGCAACGCTCCAGCAAGAGCAGGAACGACTCCTCGCTGTGGAAGCGTCGCAGGCCACGTCGTCGAACGACCTCGTGGCCAACACAGCGGCATTGGCTGAAAGCAACGGAGTCGAAGCAGACATGGACATGGCAGCCGCGACTTTGCCACCTCCAACGCCACCAGTATCGCGCGTCGGTAGTGCAGTCGTGGCAAGTGGCGAAGACACCGCGGCAAAGTTGGAGATGGAGCTCAAGGCCGCGCAGGACGAACTGGTCCAGCACCAAACGCAGGCCCAAAAAGACATTCAACGATTCACAGAAGAGCGTCGTCAACTCACAAACCAGGTGTGTGTGTGTGCTGCCAATGCCATGAAAGCTCGAGTGGGGATCACAGGAACCCTTGTATAGATCCAGGAACTGGCGCTTCAACTGCAAACTGTGCAGTCGAACCAGCAAGCCATCTTGTCGACCACTGGACCGACTGGAATGTCCGCGCGCGAACGACAGCACATGCGCTCGATTCAGCAAAAACTCGAGCAACTCGTGGCAGTGCACCGCCAGTTGCTGCGCAAGTATGCGTCGTTGGAAGCTGAACACAACGAAGCACGGCAGAAACTCAGCCTCCGCGACGACCGCATCAAATCTCTCGAGGTATGGAGGCATTCACAATGCAGCCCCTCCACATGTCATGGACTTATCTAGGCCAACACACGACTGATGGCAAGCAACATGCGGCTGCAATCGGAGAAGCACTTGGAAGAGCTCAGCGCGCTGCATGTTCAACTTGCCGAGCTGCGCAAGAACATGGCGATGGATCTCGAAGACCGCGTCAGCCTGGACGGGTCGGCCAGTGCAACGTCTTCATCCGCGTCGTCGGCCGCCGTGCGACGCCAAACTAGCGTGTATGTTCGTCAAGGAAGCATAGTGGGCGACGGCGTCATCCGACCCATTCGCGGCGGTGGCCGACGGCAGAGCACGATGGATTCGCCTCCCAAGTCGATCCAGACACCGGACACCCCCAGCGCCGCCGGTGGCCTCGGCTTCCTGCAGCGTATGCTCGGTCTCAAGTAAGGAACGTAACCAGTGGGTTTGATGTGTTTTTATACAAGCGGGTGGACCAACTACATTTCACCCCAGTCCGCGTCGTCGTCGTCAAAGTCAATCTCTTCGTCCGACTTGAGGCCAAAATCCAGGACGTCTGCGGCAGCAGCTGCTGAAGCCACCGATGGAGGCGCAGCGAAACGAGCAGCTTCAGCTTGAGCTTGCAAACACGCCTGTTCTTGCGCTTCGGCATATGCGCGCGCCTCTGCGTCGGCCTTCGCCTGAGCTTCAGCACGCAACCGCGCGTCTTCCTCGGCCTTGGCTGCCGCAGCTTTCAACCGTGCATCTTCGGCAGCACGGGCCTCCGCCTCTGCCTTGGCGCGTGCA